GCGGCGGCGCGCGCGGCGCCCCAAGAGGACCATTCACATTGACTGCGAGAAGCGCATCACCAGCTGCAAGGGCGCGCAGGCCGACGTGGTGCTGTTCTTCATCCACGGGGTGGGCGGCTCGCTGGCCATCTGGAAGGAGCAGCTGGACTTCTTTGCGGGCCTGGGCTACGAGGTGGTGGCGCCCGACCTGGCCGGCCACGGGGCCAGCTCGGCGCCGCAGGTGGCCGCCGCCTACACCTTCTACGCGCTGGCCGAGGACATGCGGGCCATCTTCAGGCGCTACGCCAAGAAGCGCAACGTGCTCATCGGGCACTCCTACGGGTAAGGGCTCCTGGCCTGGGGTGCAGGGCTGGACCAGCCGCAAAGACTGCTCCCTCCTTGACGGCGGCTGGAATCTGTACTCTCAGCCCTCAGAAGGCTGAGGCAGGAAGGTGGTGCGTTTGAGTCCAGCCTGGGCTGGTTCTCTGGACTACAGAGCAAGACCCTGTCTCAGAAAATAAACGAAGTGTAGTGGTGATTGCTTTAATCCCAGCAGTTGGGAGGCTGAGGCAGGAGGATCATAGAGTTCCAGGCTGGCTTGCTAGAAAGTGAGCTCAAGGCCAGCCTGAACTGCATAGTGAGACCCTGTCTCAAAAAGACAAAAAGAAAAAAGAAAAAAAAAGGAAAGAAAACAAGAGAGAGAAAGAAAGAAAGAAGAAAGGCCCTGGGCTAGGGCAGTGTGGCATTGTGGTAAGCACTTGCCCAGGATGCAGGATCCTCTGCTTTGCATCCGCAACACTGCAGCAGAAAGGGAAGGAAGATTTTTTAAATTAACATCTCTAAGAAGACAAAGATTCCTGCCATGATTTTTTTTTTTTTTTTTTTTGAGACAGGGTCTCACTGTGCAGTTCAGGCCGGCTGTGAGCTCACTTTGTAGCCCAGAATGGTCTCAAACTTGCAGCGATCCTCCTGCCTCAGCCTCCAAGTGCTGGGATTATAGGCATGCGCCACCACACCTGGCTCTCTAATGCATTATTGCTTACTGGTATAAGTGTGTAGGGTGTCCTGCTGTCATTCAGTGCGTATATACAGCCTGCAACCATTAAGCCAGGGCAGGAGGATCGCAAGTTCCAGGACAGCCTGGGAAATTTGTGAGACCCTGTGTCAAAATAAAATTTGAAATATGCATGAGTGTGTATACAGAGAGGAGGGGAACAGGCTCTGGGGAGTTTTCCTTGCCCCGCTGTGCTATGCAATGCTAGGCCTCCTTCCTTCTGTGTAAAACACATTGTCTTTTGTTGTTGCTGTTTGGGTACCGGGAATCGAACTCAAAACCTCGAGCTTGCCGGAAGGTGCTGTGCTCATGAGCTGTATCCCCGTAGTGTCTCCCCAACCCAGTGCTATTGACTCCTGGGCCTGGCAGGTTTTTTCTGGGAAGGTGCAGGGTGTTCAGCAGAATCCCCGGCCTCTGCCCTTTGGAATCCCTTCGTGGGGACCATGGCACCCTGACTGTCTCTACATGGAGCCAGGTGTCCCTTCGGGGGCAGAATCCCGGCCCCTGGGAACCGATGCCTGAGGCGGGTTTCAAAATCTGCTGCTCCGTCCTCCTTCCCCCGGTTGGGCAACCGCTGGAGCTGTGTGTTAGGGGCGCTGGCACGTGCAGTTAGACAAGAAAAAGCGATAGTCGTGTAAGGATCCTGAAGAGGCGCCAGGCCAAGGGTAGCACACCCCTGTGCAGAGCTTGTGCCTCGCCTGCGGGGCGCCCTGGTTCCACCTCTTGCCCTGAGAAAGGGGAAACTAGGGCTCTGAGTTGTTCACGTGACGCCCGCAGATGTTGGTGCTGTGACACCTCGGTTGCTCTAGTTAAGCGAGCACCCGTCCGCAGTAGCTCCTGTGGCCTCATAGCAACGTTGTTGCCACTTCCCGCATGCGCGGACTGAAGTTCCGAGAGCTCGAGCAGGGTCCAGGATCACACAGTGACTCACAGTCACCTCGGCGTGACCCTGCCTGTCTCTCCCCTTCAGGCGGGGTTGCGCGGGCTTCCTCCCCTCCCCTCCCTCTGCCCTGTCCCCACTTTCTGTGCTGGGCGCGGGCTCTAGGACCTCCCTCCTGTTAGGCGACCGCTTAGGCGACAGCTCCACCAGGGAGCTCCACCCTGAGCCACAGCACATATTTTCTTAAAAGACCCAACAGTAAAACTTTCTGGTTTATAGGCCGTAGAACATAGAATCTGTCAAAACTTTGCAACTCTGTTTTCGGTTTGTTTCTCTTTTTTTGGTCTTTTTTTTTTTGAGACAGGGCCTTGCTCTGCAGTTCAGGCTGCATTTGATCTCACTTTGTAGCCCAGGCTGGCCTTGAACTTTCAGCAATCTTCCAGCCTCGGCCTCCCGAGGGCCGGGATTACAGAAGTGATGGAAGTGCGCTGCCACGCCCGGCATAGCTCTGTTTGTCTCACAAAAGCAGCCAAGCAAGGTTGAGTTTCATTAAAATTTGATTTACAAAATCGTGTACAAATCTCCCAAATCAGAAACCTTATTTACAAAAACAAGCAGCCACCCCCACTTTGGAGGCACAGGCCTGTCATCCCAGCTACTCGGGAGGCTGAGGCAGGAAGATTGCAAATTGGAGGCCAGCCTGGGAAACTTATTGAGACCGTCTCCAAATGAAAAATAAAAAGTGCTAGGGGTGTAGCTCCACAGTAGCAAGCTTGCCTAGTGCATAGGAGCCGCTGGGTAGCACCCTCAGTACTGGGGAAAAAAAGCATATATAAATGAGGTTCTAGACCTGGATCCTCTCTCTAGCAAAACAACAAAAACCCCAAATCCCAATCGGACAAGCAAGGGGCCTCTGCCAGCAGGACCCCGGGGTGGAGCCAGCACCTGCCCGGGGGCCCTGTGGCTGAACCCCGTGACCTGTGCCCCCTCCACCAGCGTCTCCTTCTGCACCTTCCTGGCCCACGAGTACCCGGACCTGGTGCACAAGGTGATCATGATCAACGGCGGCGGCCCCACGGCCCTGGAGCCCAGCATCTGCTCCGTGTTCAACATGCCCGCGTGCGTCCTGCACTGCCTGTCGCCCTGCCTGGCCTGGAGCTTCCTCAAGTGAGTGCCCCGCCCGCCTGCCCGCCAACCCGCTCCTCCCGAGGTGGGGCGGAGGGAGGCTGCAGGGGCCCGCGTGGGGTCCTCGACCCGGCTGGCAGTGTCTCCCCACCCAGGGCCGGCTTTGCGCGCCAAGGGGCCAAGGAGAAGCAGCTGCTGAAGGAGGGCAACGCGTTCAACGTGTCGTCCTTCGTGCTGCGGGCCATGATGAGCGGCCAGTACTGGCCCGAGGGCGACGAGGTGTACCACGCCGAGCTGACCGTACCCGTGCTGCTCGTCCACGGCATGCACGACAAGTTTGTGCCGGTGGAGGAGGACCAGCGCATGGCCGAGGTAGGAGCTGCCACACCCCCCCAAAAGCGCTTGCCCGCGGGCGTGGCCTCCCCTGTGGGCGCGCTGCCCAAGGGGCGCTGCTTTCCGGGGTGGGTGTGGCTTTTATGGGGGGGCGGTCTGAAGACCCGCGCAGGTGCTGGGGCGAAGGTCCCGGAAACAAAGGTATGTGTGGGTGGCCTCTAGGTGTGTTTTTAGGTGTGCTTGCGTCTTGCGACCCCAGCAATGTGGGAGCTTCAGCTCCGGAGTCAAAGGTAGACTGACGCCGTAACCCTAACCCTGTCCCCCTTCCCGTTGTGAGAACCTCTTCCCAGCTGAAGATTTGCATAGGAGATCAAAGGCCGCTTATATAAATCTGGGCAAAGGAGGAGTCAGGGATCTTTAGATCAGAGGCCCCCCGGAAGAAAGGATCTCAGGGCCTTCGGCACTTCAGATAGCTCAGCACTGGTGGTTTTTTGGTTTTGTTTCTTTTGTCTTTTTGAGACAGGGTCTCGCAATGCAGTTCAGGCTGGCCTTGAGCTCACTTTGTAGCCCAGGCTGGTCTCGAACTCGAAACGATCCTCCTGCCTCAGCCTCCCGAGTGCTGGGATTACAGGCATGTGCCACCACACCAGGGATAAGGACTGGCGTTTTTAAACCAGTATAAACTGAGTGTAGTGTCGAACACCTGTAATCCCAGCACTTGGGAGGCTGAGACAGAAAGATCACTGTGAGTTTGAGGCCAGCCTGGGCCACAAGCGAGACCCTGTCTCAAAAATGAATAAATAAGTAAGCAAATAAATAAAAGCGAGAGGGGCTGGGGATTTAGCTCAGCGGCAAAGCGCCTGCCTGGCAAGCACAAGGTCGTGAGTTCGGTTCCGGTACCAGAGAAAAACCAAAAAAAA